ACGTGTGTGGCTACCTTATCCAGGCTCTCTCCTTGCCGGATCAATCCCAGGCCATCCCCAGCTCTCCTCTCTCTTAGACCTGGAGGGCACATAGGCAAGAGCAGAAAGTCAGCCAGAGAAAAGGAGTCCCAGGCAATGCAACAACAGCTAAGACCCTTCATGGTTTGTTTATAACTGCTCTTTTTTTTCACATTTATCTACAAAGAAGTCATATACATCTTAATACAGTCCAATAACAGTTACTCTGTGAATCTAAACTTCTTAATAGCAAATGATCATTTTTAGTAATTTTATTTTAGTCTTTCTAACAGTATTTTTAATGAATAATTCTCTCATTAATTTGACAAGGTGATAACAAAAGGCTGTAGAAAAGTATCTATTTTATTACAGTCTGTAGTACTTTTCTGTAAAGGTTAATATGGACTCACCATACCTAATAATTAAGGAGCAATACCTCGATGGAAAAGTTCAAGCCTTGGAGTCCTGCCCTTTAGAGAACAGGAGGTTGCTTGATATTTATGTTCTACTCCACTTTTATTCTGTGATTTCCCCCATGAATTAGCCACATTTGCAGAAATTTAAGGACGTCTCCCCTCTCCTTCTTAAGTACTACTGGGTGCACTATAATGAGATATAAAATGAAAAATAAAATCTACTGATCAAGACAACTCTGAAGCCGTCAACCTATCTTGTTCCTAAACATAAGTCCAAATCATCTCAAAGGTATTGCAGGCCTCACTTGGAGTTGATAAGCCATTTAATGTATTATTCTGATGACAGACAAGATGGCATTTGATAAAAGTATTTTTATGATTCAGTAGTCTTCAGAAAGGCCAAAAATCTAAGCAGCAAATTTAAACTGTAACAAAATAAAAGCAGAAATCTCATCTGCTTGATGAACGACTAAAGCAGCTTTCATCCAAGGATTTTCAGCCAGCTTGCCTGAAGGTGGAGGACTTGGGGTTGAGGACCTGATTAACTGTACCCAAAGGCTATAATCAAATGGCCTGTGTTGAAGACTCTAAAACAGAGAGGGGAAAGAGTGTGTTAACTTTGTGCAACGTCCATGTAGGCGAGCCATGTAGGTACAATAAACTTGAAAGGAGAAGACACAAGGAGAGGAGATGAGAAATTCTATATGCAAGCGCATGGTCTAATAAGCCACTTAAGCACCAGAAACGCTGCCTGGCTGTTTGCTCGGCCTCCTGGCTGTTTGCTAAGGGCATCACAGCAGCATTTGGCCTCTTTTCTTTCTTTTTTTTTTTTTTCAGAAAGAAATTATTGCAAGGACAAAGGCAGCTCAGAAGGGCTATTACATACATAAAATTTGGCATCAACAGGCAGGCAGATATAGTATTACTGGCTGTCTCGTTCCTTAGCAAACAGATATTAGATAATGCCTCCTTCTCTGCCAAACAGTGAGTCAGTGCTGAGATGAGAGGAGCACTCTGGCCCCTTGACTTCCTCTCTCCACATCTGACCAGAGATCACTCCATCTGTCTTTCAGCAAAGGTCAACTCCAGAGGAACTTCAGCAGCAAAACACTTAAGGCAAGTTTTACAAGGGAGGGCAAACAAGTCGGGCTTCACCCCATGCTTTTGAAAAGCAAAGAGCCGTTAATAGTAAGTGGGTCTGTCTCTTGGCACCATGGGCTGACCATGCTGGTTTGCACTGAAGAGCCACAGCACGTGTGAGAGCCACGGGCCACTCATCTCTGCACACAGCTGCTGTGCGACACTAAGCTAAGCATCTGTAATAATATATTAAAACATATCCCCACCATCTTCTTCCTGTCTCTCTGTCATCCCTGAAAGCCCATACAGCTGCACCTAGCCAAGRGCCACAAAAATCTGTCCCCAAAGCACATGGCCACGGGGACACGGGGCACCGTCCCTTGGGCCTGCAGAGGATTCGGTCGCTCTTCCGAGGCCACTGGACACACAGGCCCAGAGCAGCGCCCGTGTGGGGGGCTGTGGATGGGCAGGTTTTGGTGCTTCCCAAGCRGCCTGCGCAGCACGAGCAGCTCCCAAACATCTGCCCCATCCTGTCACCTGGAGCTCATGTTCCAAGCGATGAATGTGATTCCAACATGGCCATTTCAACCTCTTCGCTGATTTGTTTCTGAGGCCTTTCTCTTTCCGAATGTGTAATTAAACTAAAAGAGACCGGAAAAGCCCGTTACAGTAAATAATTTACAAGTTCCTCCCTGGGGACACTTTTTAATTATAACTCCACTGGTCAGATCTGACTGAATAGTCTGAGATAGCATTCCCTGCTGGGATCCTGAAATATAATTAACTGATTCCTTTGGTAATGATATTTTCTCCTTAAATTATCCATTCGCAATGCAGGGCAGGCAGATTTGTTTATAAACAAAGTAGAGCTTGATGGACGCTTTGTCATGAGGATGGCAATAACAACATCACTGCAACAGACGGGGCATGTCCATTTGGGGAAAGATGATACTGTTTTGGAGCCATTTTTATAAATTCCATCCTGACAATGTAGTGCTGAGAGATACAAGAGAGCAACCAGACGATCCTGATTCCTCTCCTTTTGGCAGCCTGCCTTGCTCCCCAAGTGCCATTTTATGCAGAGCGAATGTAAATAATTCTGAYGCCCCTACCAACCCGCTAACCTCTGTGCTTCAGAAACACTGTTATATACCATCAAACTGACAGCGATTTCGTGTTTTGTGGCAAAAAGCAAAACCCTAAGCGACAGCAGCAAGGTTCAGATGTCTAAAGAAAGCTGTCACGTTTATTTAGCTCCATGGTTCTCAGGACAATATACATAAATACCCTTTTGCTCTGCCCATCAGCCAAACGGTAGGAGCTCTCTCTGCGAGCCAGGGTCCTGCGGCTCCAATTGCCGGCCAAGGAGCCCGGGATGATCTCCTGGCCCAGAGGGGCCAGCAAGAMACAAAGTGGCAGCTCTTCCCATTCCCATTAATTCGGTACATGGAGCAAYTTCCCAGTTCTCTCCCATTGCAGCTGTAGCCAAAAAGAACGAGAGCAGGAGCGAATGGTACTGAAATGGGAACTGGGATAAGTCTGGGGACACCCATTGCCTCAAGCCTTGACGGCCTTCAAAGCTTGTGTCTTCTCTACCAATCAGTTCCCCCAACTCCTGCTGGCCCACAAGGASAAGCCTGGCACCTACCCCAGCCTGTACTGGACAAGGAACCTACACTTTGCATCCAAATTCCCCATCTTGATTTCCTCCCTGATTTTCAGCTCCCGCACAGCAAAGTACACGAGTGAATGTTCAGCTCCGAGCCCTTTGCTTCTGTGCAACTGGTAGAGCTGGCTYGGGAATCTCTTCATCACCTGCTTTTCAAACACAGTTGTTCACCCATCATCACCTGGTGTGAAATATGTATCAGTCAAGCTCACCCTTATTCTAGCAAATAAATCAAGCCACGGTCAGCCAGGTCAAAAGCTAATTCAAAAAGGCTGTAAAAATTTGTGAATAAACTCATATCTAACTGGCTACAGAATAATAATAAACCTCTTATATAAAGAATGCCACAGAAAAGCAAAGCCACAAGGCCCTGAGGCTTTGGACAAAATATGTGCTTCCTCAGTAGCCACTTGATTGATGTGACATAAGGCATTCTGATAAAATAGGGACGAAAAAATCCACTTTCCACATTTGAAAACCAAACATCATGACTTGCCCCTTGCTTGAATGTAACAGCAAGAGGTTGTTATCCTCTGATTTCCTTCCGTTATGCTGACTTGGCCTCTTCATTTTGCACCTCGAGCAGAACTTGAGCAGCATCAACACAGCCCAGCTTAGGTCTCACACCAGCCAAAGACACAGTTACTCCTCGGGATCCCAGTCAGGCTGCCAGGGCTAAACCTCATGCCAGGACAGCACTAAAAGTATACACTGATTTTGGTGGGATGGAAACATGCAGTTGTTGAAAAGAGCTGGGCTGAATACAGACAGTTATTGTCTAGGAAGTCCTAGGGGCATTCAGCTCTGCAGATAGTCCTTGAGAATTCATGGATTTTTTTAATGATGACACTGAGCATTTTGCTTAAAATAAATGCACTGATTCACTAGTTGAAAGAGGAACTAAACATGCATAGAAGGAGTGAAGTCACGCTGAGGAAGGCAAGCAGGATTATAAACAGTGCAGGAAGGCAAGAAAGTCAGTATTCTGCTCCAATTACTATTACCTGTGGTTTGATTTTAATTCCCCAAACTCAGATTTATTTTAAACCCCAGTGCTGTCTCCCTGAGYGGGTGGTGCCTTTTTGTGGGCACACGTATTTCAGTTGGGGTGCAGCCACGGACACCGCGAGGCTGTGGGGCCACCACGTCGGTCCCACGAGAGGCCCYGCAGGACCCGCTGCCATCGCCACCCACCTGCACGAGGCCGAGAGGTTTGGCACGTCTCCCCCGGCCTSTTCCAAACTGTTTATTGTGGCCAGGACGAAAGCGGGTCCGTCTTCCCCCAACCTGCTCCTTGACATCATCACACCGACCATACGCGCTGCTCTTATCTGCCCTGGGGTAAATAAAACCTCCCACCCATAACCCTGCTCCACAAAAACTGCTCTGTGTAATTCTTAGCTTCTCTTTGTCCTTTAACACTGCACCAATGTTTCCTGTATTATTCCGGGATATTATGAATGGCTCATGTACAAAATTATAGAGGTTAAAATAATTCTTGAGAATTATTTTACAAAGAAATCTTCAGACTGAGAATTCACTGACCAATTTTCAGATGATGAGACATTTTTAAATTCAGACGAAATAAATTTATAACAAAACCATGGTTGCTGTTTTTAACTCTTTATTATTAGACATCTTTAAGAAGCCAAATGCATTAGCGAAATTATTGTAGACACCAAAATCAGTTAAGATTTTCTCTCAACCAAATGAGCTTTTGCCTACCTCACTATAGGTTTTATTTGGTGGTCTCTGTTTTGGTTGATGGATATACATAATTTCAAGTACAAAGGACAGTGTTCTTAACTTTTGCCATAAAAAAAAATCTGATCCCAGAATGTATCAAGAAATGTCATTAGTAGACAGCTCAGCTCTAAACTGGAGCAATAAAACTGCTGAATATCAAGTAACTTGGTGCTCCAATGTATGAGGAGAGGAAATGATCCTTACCATAATAAACAGACAGCCACACATTCATGTTTCTGTTGATTCTAGAACAAGAATTCACATCAGGTATTTTCCAATTGGATGCAAATCCATGCAGTCCTCGTTACTGTGATCACAGGTATAGTTTTCTTTTGCTCAAATCAAAGTAACAACCTTATTGCTCTCCAAGTCAAACACGACTATTAAGAAGTTGCAATTAACAGATCTGAAGTCTTTAGCTGGTCACTCTGCAGAAGAGCTGGCCTCAGGACAACCTTTAGCATTCTTCATAGAGGACTTCATCTATTGGGACATCATTTTCTGCCACAGGCACCGATTCACAGATCTGTTCTCTAAAAGCCAATGCAATTGTGTAAGGCTTTCCACTGGGATGCTTCACACACCTTTCAAGATAAGTATCGTAATATCCTTTCCCTCTTCCCAATCTGTTGCCTTTTTTGTCAAACCCAAGGCCCGGCATGAAGATAAGGTCAAGACCCCCTGCAGAAAATGAAACACATGTTAGTGGATGCACCCTGGATTTCCCAATGGCCTGAACACATCCATGTAACTCCGGACATAAGCAAGAAAAATAGCTTTGTWTTTTGCAAAATGCTTCCCCTGCTTTGATCAGATGAAAAATACCTTGAATACTAAACCTGTAAATTTACATTTTCATTCTTATCAATTGCATACTAGATCAGGTGCAAAATAATTAGACCTTGAAAAGGTGGGAAGAAAAAAAAATCTGCCTTCTAACAAAATTATTTTATCATTTTAACCCTGCACTTCCCTGTACTAATCATCACGAATCTAAATCCAGGCAGAAATTATAGCCAGAGTTCATAGAAATTTTAACTACAGAGTAAATGTACAGAGGATCAGAAAATCAGATGAACTTCAATATTAGATAAAAAATAAAGGAAAAAAAGAATGAAAAGAAGCAACATAAGAAAGAGCATTTTCTTGACATAAATGTAAAAYGTCATGAACCTTCATTCAACCCCTCAAAACCAAAGGGCCTGGAATGCAATATATTCAGACAGTGGGCATTGGCCCTTTTCTGTCAAAATTTGAAGGCTTCTCTCTTCATGATGTCGTATTCCTTGCTCTCAAAGGCCATTCTCTTGAGCCTCCAGCAACAGCCTCTCTCTGCAGGAACCCGTGGGCTCCTTGAGACTCTTCTGAAAGCGTACAGGGGTGCAGAGTCAGCAAAAAACAGAAACAAGTTGCACAAGTGGCCATTCATATGGACAAAACAGATCCAGCTGGCTTGGAAAACCACAACAACAGATCCCAACAACCAGATTTAAAAAAGGCACTTTAATTGCAAGGTCAGTTAGCCCATATTTTCTTGTTTTGCCAGCAGATGGGCAGGAGCATCCTGCCATGCAGGCAGCTGGAATTTACAGTTTGCTGAACTTGTCTGGGGAGCTGATTCACATCCCGGACGGAAAAGGGAAAAGGGAAAAGGGAAAAGGGAAAAGGGAAAAGGGAAAAGGGAAAAGGGAAAAGGGAAAAGGGAAAAGGGAAAGGGAGAGGGAGAGGGAGAGGGAGAGGGAGAGGGAGAGGGAGAGGGAGAGGGAGAGGGCTGCCACTTTGGGCAAGGTGCAGCACAGAGGCAGCCAGGGCGCAGGCCCCGTTACTGATGCAGGGCTTGTTCTTCCAGTGCGAGACACCTCGTGAAGGCATCCGCGAACAAATGAGCTTGGCTGTCCCGGCGCCGGCCGCTGAACCCCTCAATGCACCTGCTTCACAATGCAAAGAGAGTCTTCACTTGCTGCTGTAGAAGACAGGCACTTCAAGAGAGAAGGGCAGGGAAAGCCAGCACGGGCTAAAATACAGTTAACATGAGTCTGGGAAGGAAGCAAACAYAGCAACTCCATCCACTGCTTCCTACTTCTCACTGGAACTGCCTTTTCATAACCAGCTTCTGCTCCTTCACCAGGGCTAGGCTGTTTCAAGCATTTTTCTGCTTCTCCCAAATCCAAATATGGTCTCTATTGCCATTTTGGATTGTGCAGGGTGCACCATCAAATGCCTCGTGGGCAAGTATCACACGATGCTCCTACATCTAGCAGAGCTAGATGGAGACGTAGATGCTCAACATACAAGATGAGGGCAGCTGATCTCCCACATTAGCACGGTCCATGATAGGGATTCTGCAGGTCAAATCCTTCCTCCGATGCTCCTGGGCTCATCCATTACTCTSTGTGAGTTGCTTTGTGTGACATTTTTGTATTTGGGTGACCCAGGCAGCACTATGTACCCAACACTAATGACAAACAGAAAGAAACACATTTTGGCTCATTCTTTATCRGCTTTTTTCACTCCGTGTGACTCATATGACCAAAAGCAGAAAACATTTGCAGTTGTTGCTGTTGGTAGGTAAGAGTATCCACAAGGGGCAAAGCTGCAGAGTGGAAAGGTGCCATTTCTCCTTACATTTATATCACAGGCAGGAGGAAGACAAGTTAGCAGAAGCACTAAAGAAAAAGGGAATTGGCAGGAACAGTGCAGGGASAAAATATATTTTCTATGTCATTTAACTGATAGCACAAGCCACACTCGAGTGAATTTAGATGTATTAAAGAACAGTGTTTTCCTCTGGGTTCTCTGGAGAAGTAGAGTCTATTTTAATGAGTCAGCTCCTCTACAATCACGGATTTTTTATGCTGAATAGCTCAAATAGGCTTTTGCGAAATATGAAAAATGATGCTGTAAATACTATAATAGTTACCTTCTTTTTTTTTTTCCAGTGGAGCACTGTGGTGCTGAATGCCTTTGCTCTGACTCACAACGCGCTGTCTGATATCCATGCAACTCACACAGCTGAAGATTAAAGCAAAATGCCAAACCAGACTTGCAGGAGAAAAATGACACAGGCTCCTGCAAGGAGCCTGGAGGCASTTCAAGCAGCATTAGCCCCAAATCCCATCCTGGGAGCTAGAATGAATGGCAGAGAGCCCCATGGAGAAAACACTTCCTCTCCTCATAACTTGGGGAGCAGCAAAACCTCTTGTGGTGCCTGCGGTGGCGCGGGGGAAGATCTGCCACAGGATGAGAGGTGACACACAGATGAGACCAAGATTGCAGACACGCAAGATTGCTATCAGCCCTGGGTGCACATCAACAGGATGGCGAGTGAGGGTAATAACATCGTGTCCTTCTAGGCACGACCCTCGCAGTGCCAGCACCTCCAGCCCTATTTGCATCCTCATCCCTGAGGAGACAGGGCAGTGCTCGGGCATCGAGCAACACGTCRGTTTGTACTGCTGACAGTGTAAGAGTGTCCTCACGGGCTGCATCCACTTCTGTCCCTCTCCTTGGCATGTCCAGTGTTCCCACCATGTCCAGAACTGTTAACCAGAGGCTTTGGAATCTCTGAGGCTCTTGGATTCTGAGGGTCTCTGAGGACCTAAGAGGGAAAACCAAGAACCTATTGCCAAGAGGTCTTTCGCTGTAGGGAATCCATGCTCCTCCTGGAAAGCTCTTAGGTGATCTGCAAGTTGTTAAAGGTAGAAAAACTATGCCAGGCAATCATTTACTGCACCAATAAGGGGCTTCCAAGCAGAGCATCACAATGCTTCTTATGAACTTCAATTAAGCTACCTGGTACCCCAGCAAGGTTGGGAGTTACGATGACGGCCACCTAGTGATCTGCTGTGTCTGTGAGGTGAGCTCTTGTGGCCATGGCTCCTTCAGCGGTGCAGCTCTGTGTGAAACAACACCCCCTGACACCCGGACCTACCGACACAGGCGCACAGCCGTGGGGACACRGCCACACGGGCTTCACTTACACTGTATAAATAAATAAAGCAGGGACAGAAAGTGACTCACTCGCAGGAGCRCAGACGGCTCCCACTGCTTAACCCTCTGCCCGCTCCCAACGCGCTCCAGGCACCGCTCAGCTCACACTTCCAGGCAAAACCTAGGCATGTCCCAGGGGACAGGATTCCCGGGAACAGTAAAGAGGGAAGCGTGCTGGTCTGGCTCCCTTCACCCTGCAGCCTCCTCCTACCCCCGGCCTCTTAGAGCAGGCCCTGCTCCTCCAGCYACAGACGGAGGCTTCCCCACCACATGTCACAACACGCAACACAAATCTCCACTTTCTCACTACAAAAACACCTCTGCAGCTTGTATCGTTTAAGATATTATGAACTGAGAAACAAAACAAAACAAAAAACCACAGTATTGTTCTAGGGTCAGAGGGGCATTACACGGGACCAAAAAAAGGAGAGGCCAAATTCAACGCTGAAGAAATGACTGGACGTGCCACACAGCCCTGTTTTATTTAGCAGTACAGATACAGTCACAGCTTGAGAGCACGCCGTGTGGGTGGGTAGGCACAGTTCACTTGCACCAAACTGCACACGTCTGTGCAGACATACCTTATGGCACAGAGACGTGAAATGACTTGCCCAAGGCTCAGGAAACGTGTGGCAGAGCCATATGCAAAAGGCAGGTGTGCAGTCTGTGTGCAGCCCTGACTTAACCGGCAGACCAAACCCTAGCAGCCCCTCTCTGCTGTCTGAAATAGGAATACAAGGTTTCACTTCCCTAGGCAGCTGCCGTGAATTTCCCGAGTTTGGCAGTGCATTTCTCATTACCCTTCGTGATGGTATCAGGTTTGAGTCGCTCCCTAGGGACGGATTTTCTCATGCACCTCATTACCTTTCCTCCCCTCAATCTGATGTTTCTCCTTGAAACGCCAGCCTGCGCTTTCTGAAGCGTTCTTGACAATGGGTAATCACAGGAGGGTCCATCAAGCTGCACAGATATGGGGCACGTAAAGACTGCTGGGGACCTGATGTGCCAGGGGACAGCAGTAGCCAAGTCTGTCTCCTCCAAGGTTTGAGGAGGCCTCACCAGGCTGTTGCTACCCCAATCTGGGGGCCCTGCACAGCAGGGCAGCCTCAGCAGCCAGCACCCCGGGAGGACGCAACCGCAATCCTCTCTCATCCCACCTTCCCCTCCATCTTTGCCACTTGCTTTGGGGATGCMTGGGACCATGGAGGTGAGAGGCAGGAGGTTCCTGATCCGGTCTCCATGGCACTTGAAGAGGAGTAGGCAGAGACGGAGCTGCAGGACCTGCCAAGGGCAGCAACATGCTACTCAAAATCGYGCTCAGGACAGACGCCTGCTAAGCTCAAGGCTACAAGAGGGCACGCAGCAATCAGCTCCTATTGCCATCACTGCTGCTTTGCAGTTTAAGCATGTTCTGAAACAAAAAGTTTGTGTCGCATTTACTCATTTACACTTGTTCCCACAAAGACAGCTCAATGCTGCCAGGCYGGTACCTTGGACAAGAACAAGCTCTTAGGTGGTTGGGGTTTTTTCACTGTGTGCAGCTCATTCTGGGTCAGTGCTCAGGGAACATTCCCTGCTTTGCTCTGGTGTAAATCATTATATAAGCTGCAGGACAATGAAGAACCAGGTCCAGGCTGATCAATTTTCTTTTTAAGGAGACAGGGAATCTTTCTACATAACACACACCATAT